GGGTGCTGCTGTGGTCAATGTGGGTGCCTATCTTCCCCAACTCCCACCCTAACCTGAAGCAATGAGTTGTCCCTTTCCGGCTCCTGGCTTCTCCCAAAGCAGAATGATTTTAATCCGAGCTGCCCAGTGATGTTGGTCTAGCTGGCCTGAACCTTGCCCTTAGGCCTGTAGGCTCCTCATCTGTACCCCATCGCCTAGGGGGACTGCCTCATGAGTGGCTGCCCAGCTCCCTTCATGTGTGTTTATGTGTGTGTGCATGTATGTTTGTGCCCCAAAATGCCTGCACCATATGCTTGCTCACAGACATGAACACAGGCCTCAGTACCCATGTATTCTCCCCTCTATCTTAATACAGCATGTCGGGTCCTGAAACCTCTTTGCTGGGCCCCCTTCTCCAGACCTTTCCTTGGGCTTCCCACAGTCCCTGGCTTGGATCTCTACATGGAAGTGACCATACAAGGTATTCCTATGACAGTCCAACATCATTCCAAGCAGAGTGCCTTGCCACTTTCCAGCTTTGTGACCCTAAGCATGTTCCTCAACGTCTCTTAGCCCCTGCCTGCAACAGTGATGATGATAATCTCCAGGTTATTCATTCATCAAATATTTAAAAACAGTGCCCGCTGTTTGCCAGGCTTGGTGCTAGGCTCTGGGGGAGACAGTGAATGTGACATAGTCCCCACCCTCCTGAACTTACATCCTACTGAGGGAGATGGGCAGGAAATAAGGAAGCAAATAGAAAAAGGAGTTTCGGTTCTGCTAAGTGATGCTTAGCAGACCTGATGCTCGGTGGAATAGTGTGAGAGTGCAGGGTGGTGAGAGAGGGCCTCTCTGAGGAGGCAGCACTGGAGTTGAGCCCTAAGTGACAGGAGAGGCAGTCACTTAGAGATCTAGGGAAAGAGCATTCTAGGCCAAGGGTACAGCTGGTGCAAAGGCCCTGAGGTGGGAATGAGCTCAGGGAGCAGAAAGAAGGCCAGTGTGGCTGATGGGGTGGGGGACGGGGAGAGGGCAGTGAACCAGCTTAGACAAGGCTTTTTGAGGCCATGCTAAGGAGAATGAATTCTAATCAAAGGGCGGTGAGAGACACTGGAGGGTTATGAGTGAGAGAAGGGTATAATGTGATTTGTGTGTTTTCACTGTTCATTCCAGCTGCCATGGGGAGAGTGAGGAGGGGGACGGGGTTGTCTTAGGCACAGCTGAGACCCAGAAAGTGGCTAGTTTGGCATTTAGCCCTGGCCCTGCCAGTGTTCCATTGTCATCCCGGGTCCACCTTAGTTGGAGCTGAAAAAGATGCCACTGAGCCCAAGGTCATCTCAAGGGCAATGGGTAGCAGGAGCCCCTGCTTGGAGCAGGGCCTGGTTTATGCTGAGAGAGAATGCAGGGGATCTAGCCACTGCCAGCCTGTCATTTGTAGGCTTCTGCTTGGGATCAGTGCCCTGTGGCCCAGCTGTACTTCCTCCCTTGCTCTTGCCAGCAGGGTTGGAGGGGGCAGGGTCACTGCTTCGGGTAGAGTCTCCTGGTTGAAGATTTGAAGATTTTTATTTATTTATTTATTTATTTATTTATTTATTTATTTATTTATTTATTTATTTGAGACAGAGAGAATGAGAGAGAGAGAGAGAGCACATGAGAGGGGGGAGGGTC